GCTGCATGCCGGTGTGGCGTCGTTGATCGTATTCGCTCGCAACCTAGCGACAGCATCGCTTGCCGGGTAGCCGCGCCCTGGGACGGTAGTAAAGTCTCCTAAACGGCCAGTCTATAGTTGGCCAATAGGTCGCGTTGACTCGCCTTCGTCCGCACCTAAAAAGCATTGGGAAAGGCGGGAAACTCGCGCTGACCTGCCGCAATGGGCGAGGTCTAGGCACATCTTAAGTGGCCAACGTATAGGTGGCACCTTGCCTAGACGGCGAACCGGCAGAGAAAGGAGAAAGTGCATGGAGATTGCAGAGACGCAGATAGACGGCGACTAAAATGTACTCAGGGGTACATTTTAGTCGCCCTCTACATGACCCTCTGCGTCTCTGCAATCTCCACGCACTTTCCCCTTTCTCTGCCGGGTTCGCCGCCTAGGCTAGGTGCCACCTAATACGTTCGCCACTTAACATGTGGTATAGACCTCGCCCTCTGCGGGAGGTCAGCGTGAATTTCCGCCTTTCCCCATGCTTTTTGAGTGCCGACGAAGGCGAGTCAACGTGACCTATTGGCCAGCTATAGACTGGCTATTTAGGGGACTTTACTACCGTCCCAGATTGGGGGCAGGTTCAGAACCCTCTCTCCCTCGGCGTTTCTCACTATTCCTCTACCTCCGTGCACCCTTTCTAGGCCTCTTCTGTCACTGCCGACGTGACCATTCAGATCACCTGCTATGGTGAGGTAGTCGCCTTCCGGAATCGATCTGATGGCATCGTCAAGGCTGAGGTAGAACTCGTCCTTCTCACTTTCGGGGCATCCGGCTCTGCGGTGCGTACGGAGAGTATTGTCCAGTACCCCTCCTTCGTGTCTATCCTCACAGCCATGATCCGATCGCTGATCCTGTTCACAGCGGAGACATAGTCCTTGAGCGACTCCGCTACCGCTATGGCCACGCCGTTCCGCTTGGTGTCTTCTCCATTGTAGTAGAGCTTGACACCTTCCCCGATTTCCCTGGCCTTAGCACCTTTCCATCGCGTCTCCTGAAGGCATAGGACTTGGATATTCCTGCGCGTCATCAGATCAGCAACCTCTCGGGACTTCCCAGTTAGCGATCCTACGTTCAGAGTCCCAATTCGAACTAGCTTCTTTGGCCGAGGCCGTTCACTCCTCGGTAGCCCTCGCATACTGACCACAGAACTTGGGCGGGTGTTTTGCAATGTGATAACCGTGTATGTTACAGCTCTTCGCACTCGTGTCAACTGTCGATTGTACTACAGAGAAGAAAAATGGTCTCTTCAAGGTAATTTTAGAACAAATGAAAAATTGCAATATTGTCCCACCTCTGCAGAGACCTCGGCCAGGGCAACCAAGTCGGTCTTGCTTCCGAATGGTTCCTATTTTGGCCTTCATTTCGGCTCACAACTCTTCGAACAATGTCATCGATAGATTCTCTATTTCCTTTCATCAAGCGGAACTTCTAAACAATGAAATAGTAGTAGATATGGGGTTGTACCAATTTCTTTTCTTTTCTGGCAGAGAATTTCTGGCGGAATTTTGACTCTTTCAATTTGTCACGTTCTATCTTTCCTGAAAGCGATCGAAAATATAACCACCATCACCATCACCGATATTCCGTTTGCCAAGTAATGGATAGATGCGTTCCTCTCAGAACGAGGCGAATTACCTTTAGATTGCGAGGTCGGGTAGGGAGGTTTCGAGACGATTTGAACGGCTCTCGCGCCATGCTTCGGCCAACTTTGGGAGTTATTCCATGGTTACCTTCGCAATGCTTGTCTGCATAAAGTGAAGTGGTTCTCAAAACGGGATACCCAGCGAATCCAACAAACCGGGTAATATCCTCTGATGAAAGAGCTCGGGCTTTGGTTGAGATGGTGGGTCCAGGCTGCGAGGTAGCCACCAGGCGTGCCGCGTGTTGTTATCGTGGTGGACTCATGACTCATCTGCACTGGTGACCAACTAGGGAATGTCCTGTCTATACGGTCGCAGAATGAAACTTCTGCAGATGGTCAGGCGTGCTTCTCGGTCATGGTCAGTCGATGCATGCTGTTTCCATCGAGCTTCATTCTGCTACAGCCCATTCCATTCAGGTGGCCTTCAATGGAGCAATAGTTGCGTGCATGGTTGTTGATTACAACAACCATGTTCTTGATTACAACAGTTTCCTGGTAATAGAGTCCGGATGCACTTCCGATTCATAGCGCAAGAGGGTCTCATAGGAACCGACTAGAGGTCTAGGATGAGGTCGAACTTGGCGGCCCGTATCGTCTTCGCCGATGCTATTGAACAGAAGTAAAGTCTGGGGCAAAGACAGCGCTGATCTTGCCTGCTGCGCTCATTGCAAGGTTCTCGTTTAAAGCCACGAGTCAGGATTAGGCAACCAGCAGAAGTTCTTCCCAGGGTGCGATAGTGGGCTCCCCAAGCACTGAGGGCGCGACACTATCGCGACCCAAAGTGCGCGGCAATGGCGCTAAGGCCTTGCCCGCCGCGCTGCCCGCGCTGCCGCGTGCCAGCGTAATCCACCACGGCATACGTGGTCTCTGCGTCCTCTCGCGTACGACGTACTATCTCGCGTTCTCCCTCTCCTCGCAGCGCTGTGTCTCTCCGTCGTACTACGGCCGGCCTCCTAAGGGAAATTTAGTGTTTTCTATGGTGCTTTTTGCTTTTTCTCCTCACTAATGTTCCTCATTGCACCCCTTGCCTAATGTTTGAACAAAATAACGCATCAATTCAATCCCGACTCGTGCCTTTAACCCTTTCGGACCTGAATTTTTTTCCGTGGAGAAATTTTTCTTCTAGCTATTGTTTATTACTTGTGAGCATATAAGTATCATTATGGCGAAATTTGGAAGCTATTCGATCACAAACAAAGAAACTAGAAGCTTTGAAAATTGGCCCACCTTCTTAGTTTTTGAGCTTATGTCGAAACAATTCCAAATTTCATAGTTATGCCGAAAAGTTTATAATCTTGCACAACATTATAACCCATAATTTTGATTAAAAGAATGGATCTACTTCAAGTATTTTAGAAAAAGTGACACTTACTTGGCCAGGTTGCGGGGACCAGCGTCGTGCACTTGTACACAAATACTTGTAATACTAACAGCAACACAATGAAATGGCAGGTTTAGCTCATAATTAGGAAGGGGAAGGTTGATTGAAGCAATCTCTTGCAGGATTAGAAAAACCATGCTGTTTCAGCGGCAATGCAACCATTTGGATTTGATAAAGAAACCTCAAATGTCCATGACCATAATCGCTGGGTTTAGTCGTTGATCTATTTTGATTTCTACTTAACCCATAACGGACGGCGTGCGCCACATGGTGGCGCACGATTATTTCTTTTGTTTTTGAATGTTTCTAGCAATCTTAATATACCCGTATATACTCTCAGCAATGTGGAATAACATATCTTCCCAGGACCTGGACGGCTGGATTTTTGACAAACCTACAATAAATTTTGTCTTAATTTACATAAGTTTACTATTTGATGGGTGGCTTACCCATGGTTCACACGTCCCGAGACCCCTTCCCCTAAATATAGCCACATCCTTGCTCGGGGTTGTTGTTCGCATTTTTCATGATGTCACCTGCAGCTTCCATTCATTCTTTGCACCCTAGTTTTAGAGCGGAAAGGCGGGTTACGAACTTGTCGTCAACGGAAATCTCTTCTTTTGGATGATGAGACAAGGACACCTACTTTAGCCCCGTCTTAACCCTGCTGTTCGCATAAGCCTACATAAACCCTACCCTGGGTGGCGGCGTGCGCCACATGGTGGCGCACGCAACAAATACACTGGCCGTCCGTTATGGGTTAAAGGCAAAAGTCGGGCTCAATAAGGGGGTATTATGGCGATTGAAACTGAGTATAGAGATGCGAAGTGGAACGACAGTGGAGAAAAAACTGAGAAAAACCGTCGACAAGGCCGTTAACAAAACCCTCTTTCCCACTAGCAGTGAAGGAGGCTGGCTTGGGGAAAGAGGCACGTACAAACAAGTTTTCTGAAGATATCAGTCGTTCTATCGGTTGATACGGCAATCAACCTAGCTGATTTCACACGTTATGCCAGCCACGCACCACATCCCGAGGTGGGCGGTCGTAGCGGGGCCAGGCGGCGATAGCGCATAGTACGTGCCCTGGAGGCCTTATTACCGCGCCGTTTCGAGATTTTGAGTGTGGGAACATCTCTACGGGTGCGTAACCAAGTACAGGACATGACCGAAAGGGTTGGTTAGGTCAACTAATCCCGACCTTTGCCTTTAATTATCCCGTTGCGCTGTTGATCTTCTGAAACGTCCTGACTAAAGGCCCTGATGCGTTTCTCAACATATCAACTTATTTCGTAATGACACTAATTTGACATGAATGAAGGAGTTGAAATCGGACGAAATCGTTAGGTTAGAGACGGTCGTTAGGTTCGAGACAAGACAACGAGACAAAATTATAGGGCACTATTGCACTATTACAACCCCAGTGGGGGTGAGATGGGTCAAAAAATAATTTTCGCTGAAACTTCTGCTATGGGGGTTATCGAGGGTCCTGATCACGAATATGATATTCATTTTTGGCGCTGGCGCCAATTTGGCGCCATGGCGCCACACTGATTATCACCAAATTCGCTGTAAACTTCTGTATAGGGGTTATTTGGGGCCCTGATCACGAATATGACACTCGTTTTTGACATTCGTGCTGTTTAACGCATATTTTCTGCTTTTCTAAGCTTTCTCACCTATAGCGCCTAAGACTAAGCTTAGGGGAGGGGAGTGAAACTCCGGAGTGGGTAAACCACGCACCGTGTGGCAAAAGTTGGAGTGTCAGACCACAGGGGAGTGGCCTACTCACTTTGGAGCCCTCCACTATTCAAAGGCTTAGTCCTGATTGCGATCTAATTAGTGCGAGGGCGCAGACGAGCAGGAAGCAGGCGCCGAATAGCGCTAACAACATTCGTAATCAGGACCCCAAATAACCCCTATACAGAAGTTTACAGCGAATTTAGTGGGAATCAGTTGTGGCGCCACCAAATGGCGCCAGCGCCAAAAATGAATATCATATTCGTGATCAGGACCCTCGATAACCCCCATAGCCGAAGTTTCAGCGAAAATTATTTTTTGACCCATCTCACCCCTACTGGGGTTGTAATAGTGCAATAGTGCCGAAGGTGATCGTATCTCGCAAATGCAAGGTAGGCTCTGAGGGAATTCATGCTCGCCGCGCCAGCAGGAAGATGCGGAGTATAAAAAGTGACGCCCACAATCGCCGTCACGCGCAAAAGCTTCCGTGATCGGGGAGCTTAAATTGTGGGAGCGGAGCGAAGGAATTTAGTCAATAGCTTAATAAAAATCCTCAACCATCACTCCAGGCTGCCAGTAAACCACATTCCGCAACATCCTTCTTCTTTATTAAACCTGAGAAGTCGCTCTGAGGAAATTACCCTTTACTTCCGTGTTCTCACTGCCACGGCTTTTACAACATGCAAAAAATTAGTGCTCCACGTTTAAAGGAGTATTTTGGTAAAATCTACAATATATAGAAGACCTCCCTTCCGTTGTCAGACATGAACCACCTTCCCCTGGAACCGAGTAATCAAGATTGCGACTACGCCCATTTCGGTGTACTCCCACACCAGGGTGAATATCGGTCGAGGAAATCCTCGACAGGGGGGTCGTACCTGTTGGGCTGGTCCATGGGGGGTCGTACTCTTGGGGTCAGTAACAGAAGTGGTATCATGGTGCAGATAGGTAATAGGGTATAGCGCAGCAGAAAATGAAAACATCCGAAAAAAAACATGATATTAAATTTTCTTTGCAGGTTCAGTCGCTCCATTCCTCCACCTTCATGAGAAGGGCGTATTTGAAGGCAGTACAAAGAATGAAAGTGCATCCCCGCAAAGAAGAGTGCCACATGTGCGCACGCGCTGCAAAGGCACCTCCTCCGCCTATCACTCGCTCCTTCTCCCTTAATACCTCGCTGAGAATGACGCTGTTGTTAGGGACCCTGTCGGAAAAACGACAACCGTGAAGAAAAAGCGCTGGGCAAATGAAGTTGTTTTTTAGGTTACAGGAATAGCACAACACACTATGTCTACTACAATACAGTTTCGTTCGAAGGTCCCCATCATATAACACCTTTCAATCGATTCTGCAACTGTGAGTGGAGGAGGGATGCATGGCTTATACCAATACCAAATCGGATGATGACGATTGCTCCTATTCTTATTGTTTGCGTTCAAAGATATTGTTCTAGACACATTCCGAGTGTTGCCAACGAGTCACACTTGCAATGGTGAATGAGGGAGCGGATTTCCAGGTGGCCGGATCCGACCTCGATAGATCCTCGACGCAATTATCTCTTCAACCAAAAAGCTGTAGAAGAAAACTAAACAGACCATCAGGAAGCGCAAACCTTCCGCTTTCCAAAACTATCTTCCCTTTTTCAGGATCTTACAATATAAGAGATATATTGCTCTTGAAGTGGCAAAAACTCGCGTGTGAAAATTTGGGCCTCCTCGACATTTACTCGACGAAATTTGACAGACCCTATCTTTCTGCAAGGAAGGCTTCCAGAGCAATTTCGATGCTTGTTGGAAACGCGAAATCCAGCTCTATCTAACTCTACCTCAAGCTGCTTCAAAGGTTGTGAAATGGAGGAATGCAACCTTTTCATCGAGGGTGTAGATTCGGACGTTTTTTTTTTGAAATTTCGGCAAATCTGACCCAGTGACAATCGCGCCGCAGCTGCCGTTGAATCGGCCTTTGATACACTCGGCTGTTTTGATATACTCAAGCAAGAATCAAGATTGAATCGCAACCCCGTGTCTTCAGGATTTCTGTGCGTTTCTGAACGAACCTCGCCTTGAGGTCACACAAAGTTAATGCCTCTTTCCTCGAGTCGATATTTCAGTATGTACACAAAAGTATGCAGCGATGGGAGACGTGCATAGATGACAAGATGAAGCGTCCTTAGCATTATTTGCAGCATTTTTTTTTGATTGTTTTGATTTTTTTTTGATTTTTGTTTTGCAGGATTTATTTTAATTGAATTAATTTGCTCTGTTAGAGGGGGTCGTGCCAGGATCTCGATTTTTCGGGGGGGGGTCGTACCTCTGCGACCACGTACTCGACACGATTTTCACCCTGCTCCCACCCACCAATAACAGTACTCACTGCTCTCCAAGACTTCTCAGAATCAAATTATGAGGACTTGTTGGAAACGCTGTGCACTTCAGGGCACGCTCGTCCAATTGTGGGCGCTCCGCCGCAGGTTATGGTATGCTGGAACTCCCTAACATATGCGCTTCCTACACCAATTTTCTTCTTCTTGCATGTTAGTTTTCCCAAAAACGATTCGGCGCGTTTTTCATGAGCCCATGTTTTTACAACTTTGAGGAAACCCACTCAGCCAACGGAGCGTAGGTTCTCCTTAAGGTGTTCTAGCTTGCCAATGTATGTCTTTACCAACTTTTTTCCAGTCTCAAAAGCTTTTTATAATTGAATTTGAAACTAAGAACTTTGACACGCTCCACCTGTTGCGACACGCTCCGCCCACCGCTCGATATCTTGTCTGCGTCGCTAACTTGATCTGCTCTCTCTACTCGTACTTCTCTAGCGCTCTCCGCGCTCACATTATCTCTCATCTCCCTGCCGGCCTTTTGAACTTCTCCGCAGCGTAGAGCAAAAGGCTCGTGATTCCCATGTATTTCACGATTTTTTTTCTTTTTTCTCCACTGGCGGTCCACTTCCTACCCCTACTTTCACATTTGAGTGGAATTACCTCATAATTTAATCCTGAATCTTCCTTTAACAGTTAGTCCTCATTTAATCTATACCTTCGAGGTGCCCACTTGTTACAGACAAGAAATGAAAGGAATACTAACCCGGAGTTCACAATTCTGACCTATGAGAGTTTTCTGATCGAGCACTAATCACCTTTTCGGCTTGCGCTTGTTTGTTGAACTGCATCCTGCCAAGCACACGTAAGCGCTAAGGAAATGTGCCAAGAAAATGCGTACCTGGTTCTCATGGCCGGTGTGAGCAGCACATAAGATTAAGAATATTGCCGTCGATTTTGAACACAGTCAATAGTGGCACGATTTTGCCCACATATTCGCTCAATATCGTTCACGGCTACTTGCATTTGACGCTCAGTGAGACTGTGTGAGACTTCGGACATCATCTGAAATGCAGCAATATGTACGGTAATGTAATTTTTGCACGAAATGGCATGAATAGACCAAAATTAAGCGTAGCATAATCCCTAGTATTATAAACAGTGCTGACGATGAGATAGGCGTCAGACTTAGCGACAAGTCTTATGGAGGGAAGGTGACGGGAGACCAATCTACTATCAACAGAAAGCACATTTCTCGCTCTCTCCAAACCTACTCTTACTTTACCCTGAAACTCTTTTCGTCACTTTTTTAAAGTATTGAATACAACATATTCAACAAGTTATTATATAATGTGTACGGGTTTCTGTTCCTCCCAACCCTCTTTCCTTGGTCAGAAAAATCTTGAAGTAAGTCGGGATATCAACTGAGCATTTGGTGCCGAACCCACAAAAAATCCGCTCTGCAGCTATATTTCAGAACTCCTTTCTTACGATGATGAAAGCTTCAAAGCAGATTAGGGTGAATCTCAGAGGACTGACAAAGACTAAGTGAGGGTTTTGATGGAACCAAGTCTGCATGGAGATTTTGAGCAAGTCCTCCCTCATTACGCGCAGTCAAGATGGGGTTCTTCGGACACTTACAGGTGTCCGAAGAACGTCCAAAGAAATCGATAAGTACGTGCTGCCGCATTTCCTCACAGTTGCGCCGCCCCATTTCGCACTTCCAGCGGTACACAATTTACACTAGCTGAGTTGCAAAGCGCTGCTGCGAACATCCTGCACACTAGGTCTCTAGCCTATCAACTGCCACATTTCCAGCCATCTGGATGATCTTTTCAAGAGATCGAGCGTTGAATCTCGCACGTGACGGTGAAACGACCTCCGTTAAGTTCGTCGCCCACAGAACTCCAGCATTTTCGTCATCCTGGTCTAATGAACCCTCTTCTTTCGCACTAATTATAAGGATTGTAACAGTTTTGTTCCTATCAAAAATGTCTTGTTTTAATCGAGAGATGAGCTTAAACTTTAAAGTCAAAATCGGCTGAACTTTCTGAGGAAGCCAATAAAATTATGAGTCGATAAGACCATCAGTATTCAACGTAGACCACTCACTTCGATTTCAGTTTGATCTTACCGACATACGGAGCAACTTTCCTGATTCTTTTGTAAAAGAAACACAATACCCGGAATACTACCCAGCCTATATCGGTGAGTTTTTTTTTCGTTTGTCATAGCACAAGAAAGAGAAAAACGCTAATTGCTCTAACCAGGAAGGTCATTTGGTCAACCCGGCCATTTGAAATGAGATGTATATGTGTATACGCGCCTTGGGACGCTGAGCTCAAATATGTGTTCCTTATCTGCTGAACTCTTCTCTGAAAGGAATTATGAAGCAGAAAAGCGCAGGGGCTGTGGTCGAGGCTCACGAAAAAGAGGTCAGGGGATCAACTCCCTGGCGAGTTTGTTCTTTTGCCGTTTGCAGTAAGATAGCTAGGAAGACTCCTAACATCGCTAGTCCAACATGCTTGCGTATAGTTAACAGTACAAAGAATTTAAGGGCAATTAATAACGAACTTGGGCGGCATCGCTCCTCACTACTTTGGGCGCTTGTAGCGCAGGCGCCAGGCATTTTTGCTTCGAACAAGTATGATATTCGTAATCAGGGAGCCAGACTCTCCCTTTAAGCAAACTTCTAGCGAATTCTGAAATTTTGACCTAACCTCGAAAATTTGGGCAGTCACTCACCGATCCACCAATCCATTACAAAAGGCTGGCACTTGGGTAGAATAAACCTTTAAACACTTTCATAATAGACAAAAATTGTGTCTGGCTTGCCCGTCTGCATCATCCAAAGATCTGCAAGCATTATTTCCTAATACAACCCCTTCTCTCCTCTTCCCCGTCGTCCATGATTGGTCAACCCAAAAAAGTGGAGTTTGAGGAGTGGTAATCCCATCACTGCTCCGCTTTTTCTCAATTATTGACCTCAGATTTGGCGAAAAACTCGTTTTTAGGGGTAGTTTGATCCCCTGAATACGAATATCGTACCTACTTGCCACGGAAAAGCATAGCACCTGCACTACGGGCACCATGGGCACTCACAGACAAGTAGTGCTTAAATTTAAGAGGGTCTGCTTGCAAACTCTTCGTAGATGTAGCGTCGGGCGACCGTTGATAAAATAAAGAATTCAAAAAGGCATAAAGAATTCAAAAAGGCTTTTCAGCCATGTTGGAAAAAAAGCAAAACACCAAACCCCGTGAGGAACCGAACCCGTAACCCCTCCTTGAGAAGCAAGACCGCTACCAACTGCGCTACCGAAGCTCACCTCATCGGTGCCTCGGTTCTCCTTTCGATACTTTATAATGCGGCTAACATGTGATTGCAGGCAAGACACTGAAAATCAAGGGCGGCAACAAAAACCCTCCGTAACTCCTTTCAGAGAAGAGTTCAGCAGATAATGAAAGCAGATTTGAGTTCAGCGTCTCATGCTGCGTACAGAAATGTGCACCTCATTTCATTTGGCCGGGTTGGCCTAATGACCTTTCACGGACTGGCGGACCAATAGACTGAGCGACTGACTACTTATCGTTAGTAAACTACATCATAAGTGAACTATCTTAGCTCCGCATAATAGAGCGTTCGTTACGCGGCGATCCGGCGGATTACCGCAAGAAAAGAACAACTGTTGTAAATCAGGGCGTACTGCGCCGTGAGTGGCGGTCAATGAGTGCTACGCGCGCACATTGAAGCAACTCCTGTGACGATTCTTCCCTTTTCCTGCTAGATAGTCCACAAAAGGCTATCACATGACTTCGAAGACGCTGAACTAAATGTGAAGCGCGCAGTACAAACTTCGAGCACTTGCATCGACTGGCTGATATTCCACAGACAATGTACTATAGTTAAGTATCTAAGGTGTTGTCTTGCTTGCCGATGTCAAATAGCAGTCTTAGTGTGGAGCAAATTACCTGAAAAGGTCGCTGCGATTTTTAGTGTGTTGTTGTGTGGTGCACCGCGGAAAGAGAAGCCATATTTTTCATCCTCAGATTTTATGTCTTTGCCTCGAACAAACACTTTTCGTTTGGTCGGTGGTAATGCTACGAATGGCGTGAAATGCACAGAAAATTCAAACAATGGCATCACTAAAAAACAAGATCTCCAAAACCTCAGCTAAATATGCCAGCAGCTTTTTAGTAACATAAATTAGTTTTTTTAGTTCTCGGAATCACTGATGACTGTATAGTTTACTTTCACTGGCTCAGTCTTCTGCTACCTATGGCATTCGAAAGATTTCAAGCAATTGCTGTACACAGACTCGTGGAAGGGACACCCTGTGAAGACGTTTTGCCGTTTATGACACAGACGGTAAGCAAGGAACCTTTTCGGAAAATTCATCATTACAACCCTCTTTCCATGGTTAGAGTTGAAATCTTGATGTAAAATATTCACTGAAATGGTTTGGTTTAATCAGGAGAGACAATTCCCTTTGCCGCGAAAACGCAAAGCACACGCTGCTTCGAAGGCCCTTCTTCGAATCACTTATTCTACAGGTTCTCTAGAATACACCACTGATCCATAGCTCACAGTGGCTGTTAGTTTACCGCCAAAATAAATAAATAAATAAAATACAAGAGAGCGTGAGTGTTGAGAACGCCACAAGCCAAGGTCGCGTCCAAATGCCAAATCCCACGGGCAAATGAAAGAGTCCGCATTGCCCGTAGTTCTGGACATCATTTTTCCCTCAGTTTTTCACGTTCTTTCTGCCATCTATTGACTCATTCGATCGTAATTGAAAATGTTCGTCCTCAGTAAGCACGATTGGTCACTGATCCAACGAGAAAAAGAAAAAATCCAGAAAAATGCTGAGAACCGAGAATAGGCACCTCTTCCTGCTGTTGATACCTTTATTGTATGCAATTAATGAAAAAGGGCGTGTAGTGACAAGTGGCGCGCGCTCACCACGCGAGCGGTCCGGGGGATCAAATCCTGGGTCGTGAGTCGCCCGGGCCAACCAAGCCTTCCATCCCTCCGGGGTCGGTTAATTGGTACCAGACTTGTCTGGGAGGATAAAAACACTGACTTGTACATCGGCTGGCCCCCGCAAGTCATTGTATAGGCCACATCGCATTCAAACGCCACTACGAATGTACAAATGGAAGTAGAATGCGTGCCGCATCCCAAAAAGGGATTGATCAACGGCAAATGCTTTATCCTTTTTTATTTTTATGCGAATTCCATCGGTGCTACCATCTTCAACGCTTACGCTCTCTCTGCTGAACGTCTAGAAACTCACTAGGGAACGATGGTGGGTCGATGTGGTCATTCGCAAGAAGATGTAGCAATCCTAATGCAGTATGAGACACTGACTTCAACTGTCTTCCAAATCGAAAGCTAAACGACTTTTTGTAGTAAGTTACACGATTGCTAAACCATTGTTTAGAGAGGGTGTTTAAAGAGATATTAACTGAGCTATTCGGATAAACGCTGTAATCAACTGAGGTAGTGTGCGTCGGTGGTTTAACAAGTGAACTCCCTTCCAAAAAAAAAAACAAGAGCGTCGGGTGCCGACCGTACACCACAAGCATGGCCTCTGTTTAGTAGTGGTTCATAGTGATAGCTGATTTTTGGTAAATGATAGTTGTAATTAGTGACAACTGATAGAATACAACTGCAACAGGCTAATCATTTCATTGGCAGAAAACATTTACATTTTGTGGAGGCCGTCGTCACTTGTGGTGTATGGTCTGCACCCGACGCTCTTCTCGTTTTTGAAAGGGTGTACATGTGGTTTGCATCGGTTTACCAAGTGAAACCTCACACCGCCGCGAATATTGCATTCTACCGGAAATGACCCTTGTATATTTGGGAACAGAGTCAACCGTCAAGTTGGACCGATTTCAAACATTTTGCGACACCCGTTCCCAGCACTTATTATGTACCAGTTTTGCTCCGCCCGCTATCGCGCGCATCACACGGCAGGCTTTAGCGAAACTGGAGGACCCATGGAATATCAGCATGAGGTACTCCATTAACCACCTCACTATTGAATGTGTTAGACCTTTCCCAGTTTCGCTGAAGTCCATCGAGAATACGCGTGATAACGTCTGGAGCTGAACTGGCATATTTATCTCACAACTGTAAACATCCAGCATTTTTCTTGAATTCGGATTGCGTATGAACTGTAAAGAATACTTAGCAGGGCTTCAATGTCACCTGTTGCCCTTCCTTAGCGAAGCGTAGCAAAAATTGCATT